AGGCTAAGCGTGGGCTTCTGTTCAAACATGTAACGAGCTGATCACTTACTTTTGCTTGGAAAATGCTGCGTCTTGATAATACTTTGAGCAAAGACATGCTGTTGATTATGGTGACTCGAAAACCGTGGCTACGTTTCAAACTAACTATGCCTACGGGTAGGCCTATGCAAAATCGAGGAAATGCGCAAACAGGATTCTTGAGGCTAGTTTCGTGCTTTCGCCCTTGCCGGCCGGGACGTTCAAGGTCCGAGCAGTCTAGTAGCAATGCAAATGCATATGCATACAGCAGTTGCAACATAAAAGAAAGTCAGGTACCCAGTTCTTCTCCTTTTTTATGTGGAGTTAGAATGGTACCCAGACGTCCAGGTAGGTTAACCTCTAAAGGTTAAGCTTCAGCCACATTCAAGATACTCGGCTACGGCTGGCAATACCGCACGTGCCAAGGGGAGATGAATGTAGCTGTTAGCCCATCCATTGCCGATCAGAGGTATAGCCCAGCCTCTCCGAGCCTTTACTTGGTACTCGGTGGCGACCCACTGCTGCCCAACATGCACTGCAAGCTTGTGGTCGTTTGTTTACCAACGAAGATGAAACTGCACAAAATAGAATTTGCTCTCGCAGTATAGTCGCAGTGCATGCGATCGCGAGCCAACGTGCATGTACACTTCGTATGTCACTAGCACTCGCAACTGACTTAAAGTTTCAGTAGGCGCGCCTACGTCGACAAACTCTATTGTTCAGTGCCGTATGACTCCTTGTTAATTAATTATTGTAGCTGATGAGTGCTACCTGTTTGTTTTTAGATTTTGTTTGTGTGAAGTTGCTGAATCTGGTGGGTTTTCCCACCCCATTAGCCTGAGTAAAGGGCCGGCCTTCCCCGTTTAGCTAGCTGACGCTGAACCAACGGTCAAGCAGTCGAGATGGTAGGCCTGTGATTTATCATGTTTCTGTTGCCCAAGATAACATGGGTTTTGTTTTAAGCAAACCATGGAGGAAGTAAGGTCGTGGAGACAAGTTCTTTATCCAAGTAACCATGGTAGCTTGGACCGTACGAATAGTCTTTTTCAATATTTGAACACCTGATAACTTTTACTTAGCCTTATTGCAGTGCTATGATTATGATTACGCCCTAGCCGAGATGAACTCTTTGACTGTACTACGTTACAGAGGGAGTCCATTTATAAAGGGTGCAAAATAGGGCGAAATATTTTGTAACTAAAATTTGCAACATTTCTACCTTTTCCAAGGAGCCAATTTCACTTCTATAACTCCTATGCGTCCTTATTTCCACAGCTGGTGGGTTAAGAAATTCGACACATCACCACCAAAGACAAAAATAAAGCTGGACACAACGTAAATTCGTGCCATTGTTGTGGACTGTTTTCAGCCGTTCCCCAGTGCAGTTCGTACAGTGTGCGCGTGCAACTATTCGGCATACGGATTCCGAGCCACGTACACGCACATCAAAACTACATGTTCTGACTGGAACCAGCGTAACTGAAGTCTAACCGAATCCACTGGTTTTCGAAAATGCTCACATATAGCACGTAATGCACAACATGGTTCGCAGCCACACGTACCATTGATCTCCATGCTGAGTTCACAAAACATCGGGCCGGAGGTGAGGCAGTGGCGTGCGTAGTGACAGTTGGCCTAGTTATATGTACCGGTACCTGCAGGCAAGCTGAGTCTACTACGGCCAGTACGGGAAAGTTAAAATTCATGATTTGTACAAATCTTAGCCAATTTTGAGCATGTATTATGTGTTAACTTAAAATAGACATACAAAAGGTGTCCACAAAATTTGATAGAAGTTAAGGAACTCCCGGCAGTTTCGTTTCGAGAGGAGAAGGTATTATCCAGCAAGGCTTTGGCACATTCCTGTTGATAGCAATTTACTAATTTCTGTTGATTTGTTCCATTTAAAAGTTACACCGAATTCCCTTTCTTAAGACATGGAGAACTTTCCCAGAAAGCACTGGCTAGATGAATGTTTTTTAATAAACTAGACTGATATGAGGGTCAAAAAACGGCGATTAACAATCATGATCTCTTTGGCCTGAATTTAAAAAAGAAAAATCACCTACTTTGAGGTTTAAAAACTTTGATACATTCTAGCTATCTGTCCATTGCTCTAAAATCCAACTCATCACTGCCAATTACCAATTCAGTCTGCTTATTTTATGTTTAGTTTACTAATAAAAAGGAAAGGCCGATCAACAGCACGATTTGTGCGTGATTGCTACTTACTACACATGCGTGCGCCAGCACTACCTCTGCATACTGTGTTCTCCATCAGTATAGCATCGCTCTCGCCTGTTCATCACGATCATCATGCCCGCAATGTAATCATCTTTTTATTCCTCAATTACCGAGATAAGTTACTGTTTGATTCTAATAAAAATCTCTACAATATTGTGTATTTATACATCTTTAATCAATAAAACTCTACGGACAAATTAAACATGTTAAACACTTCAAAGAGAGATTGTTGATGAACTTCTTCACATACAACTACAAGAACCCTGCATATACAGAGCCTTCTATGCTAACCAAGGTTATTCTTATAAAATAGCAGCTTGTGTCGCAAATTTAAATGTTTATAAACCGAAATTTAAAGCAGAAAAAAAATGAACATTTTAGGGGTGACCAATAGTGGGTAAATTGGTCAGTCTGAAGCCCCGATCCGACAAAAATGGAACTGCATTTTTTATTTTGGCTCGATGGCAGGTGGGTTAAAACTAGGTACCAGTCTCAGCCTCCGTGTAGTGGGCGAGCAACAGACCTTCACTGGAAATCGGACATGCGTAGTGCGTGCACGCTGCTCGGATTCCTGTACTGTACGTGCGTGCACTTTACAACTAGACTCGAGAATGGATGAATTATGTCCACAAAAGTAACGTTGTCTCTCACTTATTTTCCTCGAGTTCGCAGTCCGTGGTTCATTCTGAAATTCCTAAACCCCCCAGATGGATAAATAAGGCCACGAATAACTTGTAAATGTGAAAAATTAGTTTCTTCTACAAGGTACATGTGAATGAAGAACAAATTAGAACCAGATTTGTGGTCCTTTTTCTACACAACTTTATACCCTGGACGTCAGTCGTAATGAATTAAAAACAACGTCCAACCTGGGCTGACGACGGCCCTAAGCCATATGCATGCCAAAGGTGATGTATATGTACAGTGTCAGAAGGAAAAGGGGACAAACATACATGTAAACCCTTTTCAGTGCGCAAACTCAGAAGACGTGACGGGAACAAATTCATTACAACATTGCCTAAGATTTAGTGAATTGCTGCTGGCGATTGTTATTGTTGTAGACAATTTGTTCCCCTCTAGCTTTGTTCACTTTCTTGTGCGGGGGTGCGAAAATCAACAGGGTGACGGAATGGGAAACTGGCTTATTGCCCGTTTTATCTCCCCACAATGCCTTTCTACCATTGTGCAAAGTCACCCATGCAGCATAGCAATAAGGCTGATGTCCAAGTGAAGGGGACATTAGGGTCAAGGGTCACCAGGTGCAAACACCGAAATATGTTTAGCATATGTGATATGTTTAGCTCCGGGCTATCATTTTTAATCTCCACTTTGTGACATGTTGTTTAACTATGTTTACCTTTTAATATTGCTATATTTGTGTTCTTCACTTGGAGTTGGTTTTTTAACGAAGTCAATTCGTGTGTGAGGTGTTTATGTTATGTTTTTATCCTCTCATCAGGTTTTTTTGTGATTTCTAGATGTGACAGAATTTAATTTGTTTTCAGCGCCGGCTATTTTGATACTTCACATACTGCTGGTATTTGTACTCATGATATCCCCAAACAATAGGCCTACCAGAATGGAACCTGCTTGACAAGGGCACAAGCAATGCCCCAATGTCCTCATCTTTAAGGCTAAGCTGGATGCAGTCAACCTAATAGTTAAGATTTAGAACAATAATTACGATTTTTCCTCATTGACCCCAACACTGTTCATGACCCTTTGAGTCCAGAGTCCAATGAAGAAAAGCCACCACTGACCAATCAGCGGCAAGAAACAAGACCCAGTTATGTCGTCCCAACCTCAAGAATGCCTTCTTATATATTGTGAAAACAATCAGTCAGATTTCTCCTCTAAATCAATGTCATAGCAAATGTTTTAAATCAGTTAGTAAATGTTTTGAATCAACGAGTAAATGTTTGAATTGGTGAGTAAATGTTTTGAATCAGTGAGTAAATGTTTTGAATCAGTGAGTAACAACAATGTTTCAAGAAACTTTAGAGGATTTTGGAGGATTGAGGATGGTTCCCAGTAAAAAGGCCTAGGTGTTAGGAGTAATGTACATGTATGATTGAAATTTCTATCAGGGATACTTACCATGTGAAATAATTGTATTCCCAACAATGGCAAGAGTTCCATACAGTATATATAGACAACGTTCAAAAGCATTAAAAACCTTCCAACTTGACTTACCGTGCACACTAGACAGTTGACTTGAAGTCTAATATGGGAAAATAGGGTTGGTTGTCTGAAAAACCACCTGTAAGCTGTATTGAGGACACACACTTCACTTTGGCAGTCCATCTGGAGAGCAGCTATTTTCAAGTTTTCACATAAATATACATAATTGGTGTGCTTGACAGGGCACTAGCTGGGCACAGCAATAACGAAAAATCATACCCACGTCAGTTCTGTTCTGGGAAGAAGAGGACTCAGTTTCTGAGAGACTTTTGAACTATGACCATGGGCAACATTGCTTGCGTAAATTAAACTGCAAACACCAAGGGGATACATGTCGATTTACTTATATCAGTGATGTACCAGACAATTGACTCAGTTATGTACGTGTTTGACCTTAGCCATTTTATGGGAACATTGCATAGGTTCAAATCCTGGTGGGACTTATGGATATCTACAACATGTACAAAGTATTCAAATAACTACATGTGATAAGTGTCTGACCATCGGTTTCCATTGTGAATTACAGCATGGGTATGAATAGGACCTTTTTAATTCCTTGCAGAGTATTATGTCATATAATGGCTCAGCCATTTTGGCTATGATGGGCAAAGACTGCGTTGCCATAGCAGCAGACAGAAGATTTGGAATCCAAGCCCAAACAGTTTCCATGGATTGCCAGAAGATATTTGAAATGGGTCCTAGGTTGTACATGGGCCTCTCTGGTCTAGCAACAGATGTACAGACTGTGTAAGTACAATACTCGGTACTTATTTTTGTTACATTCTATCTCATTTTTAAACTCTGTAAATAGATCAAAAAGGGAAATTTGACTAGTTTTATTTGAAGATAATTTTCCTTTGAAGAGAAAGAAAACTGGCCATAGTGGAGTCCAGCTTGGGTCCTCCGGAAAAGTAACAGCAATCTTTCAAGCAAGTTATCCTGTGGAATATTTTAGTGTCCCAGTATGTTAGAGCTGTTGCTTGGATTCCTTGCAGGGAACGCATGTACGCATTTTTTAACAGTTTCTAAGGATGTATCAAAAGTGCATAAGAAAAAAGTACACAAAAGTGGTAACGAGAAAGTCTTATCTGACCTTTGAAAGATGACATTTTTACAAGTGAGACTCTCTCCCTAGTCTTCCAAGAACCTTCCAAATCCAATGGTACATGTAAATTTTGCTAGGTATGCAGGACTGGGGAAGGTGAAGCCAAGCTGTTAATTCTCACAGGTCTTAGAAGTTCAAATGTCAATGTACACAGAGTGCCATTTTGGATTTTGAGGATGAAAAAAAATTCCTAGAAAATGACTCAGGGAGTTGGAGTTAACACACGAGGCCTTTGTCTTTTTGTTGCCAGTGCCAATCGGCTGAAGTTTCGACTCAACCTGTACTGTTTGCGTGAAAATAGAGAAATCAAGCCTAAAACCTTCATGAACATGGTATCGAACTTACTGTATGAAAGAAGGTAAGTATCATTCCAAGGTGGTATGTGTCAGATTCTGCAGCTGTGGCAAAGTACTGTGAAGCAGGGAGAAATCCTTTTCTTTGGAATCAACTCAAAGAAGAAAGTTCTACAGTGAATAAAATAAGTAGTGGTTGACTGTGGTTGATTGTGAGAGTATTTGAAGTTCAGACAGACATCTGGCCAGGAGATCCATAGAAGGGAGTGTCACGTCAGTACATGTATTTGTTTCTGTGAAGTGATGGTCCAAGTTTCAAAGTGACTTCATAGTGAACTTTGTTTCACTATTCTAACAAGGTGGTCGGAAGGGCTAATGTCCTACACAGAATGTGGTAAAAGAAACACATCACAGCTAGACATGGAGAGCATTATGGTGGCTTATTTAGCATTTCTTAGGCACATGCATTGAGTGCGAGTAGGACACCCACATTAGTGTTGAAATTAACTCTATCCAATAAGTGCTCAACAAATATCATGTAGTATGGATCAAAAAGCTGCCCAGCAAAGAGCCTTATATGGGCAGTGGGAATGAATGAATTGTGGATATAGAGCCAATGATTTTCTAAGATCCCGGCAAACGGACGGAATTTGCAGACCTAACACTTTGAAACAGAATCCACTGCTTGAAACGGAACTTGCAAAATTGCCCTCTATAAGAATGGCTTAAAAAAGAAAACTTTTTGCAAAGTATTAAAAACTAAATGCTAATCAAACCCTTTCCAAATGCTTGCTTTTAATCATTAATGAACAAATTACACTGGAAACATCTTAAATTGCACCACTCCACCGCATGATTGGGTCGTCCGCACCGAGCTGGTGCCAATACTTGTAAGCACTATGGTGTGCATGAGCTTCATTCGCGCAGCGGCAGCTGGCACAGCAGTGGCACGGTACGGTACATTGTGTATACAAACATTGGCCGTTCACACGCTCGCACCGTACTAGCAATGAAATGAAGGTGCAAACAAGTTCTTACTTATATTGCACACTTGTGGAATTTAGTCTGTGAATCCGCATGGACGCCTTGAGACAAGGCTAGTACTGCATGGCAAAATGATGAAACCGCGGCAGCGAAACGGAAGACTAATTTCATATTTGGTTTCCATGCATAGTTTAAAACTTAATTTTTGAAACGGAAAATCATTGGCTCTGTAATAGGTCTTGGGAAAATTGTGAATTTATCAAAGTACATGTACTAAATCTTGATGTTATGATTTGACTGTGTTTTCTTTACAGGTTTGGCCCTTACTTCATTGAGCCAGTCATTGCTGGTCTAGATCCCAAGACACATGAGCCTTTCATTTGTAACCTAGATCTGATAGGGTGTCCTATGTTCACTGATGACTTTGTGGTAGCTGGCACATGTACAGAGCAGTTATATGGCATGTGCGAATCCTTGTGGGTGCCCAATCTGGTATGTGGATGTCTTCATTATGAGCAAATCATGTTTCTAAATTGGAATTGAGTGATATCTTGACATATCTAAGAGGTTTCCGATTTGTTTGGAATGTATACCTTTAACCTTTCCTCCCAGCATTCCACACAAGCAAATTGATTTTATAAAGGAATTTTATAGTCCAAATATAGGATTGTAAGTAATTTATGAAAGGGCTAGAATGCATTCTTGTATCAGGTTGTCAGTATGTCACCTGTAAGGTTATGCAATATGTCAAGCAGTTTCTTGTAACCTTTCTGTAACAAAAAATGTCAGTACTTTAAACTCATCCACTTTTCAATTTGTTATCCATGCAGTGAAGCAAAGCGGGACTTGCATTTACCTGGCAATTAGATGTGTTACGTAGCCATGATAAATCATCTTTGTTTTATAAGCATGATTATCTACATTAGTGCTTTGCCAAAGGCGGGTCAAATCCCTCCTTCCATTGCCTCTGTCATTTGCTGCCCATTTCAACTGTTAACTTGGGAAAGTAAAAAGTGTGATAAAATTTGTAAAAGGCCCAAATATTCCAACAGTTTCTACAGAAAATTGACGTTTATAAGTGGTGCAGTTCGTGTCAAGACTTTCTGAGAAGGAAGTGATCACAAATTTCACATAGCATTATGTATTAAGAGGGCTTAACTTAGAGATGTCGAACACTGGCTGGATGTATCCTGTAATGTTTGATACAGGAACCTGATGACCTCTTTGAGACAGCCGCTCAAGCTCTTCTTAATGCTGTAGACAGAGATGCAGTGTCTGGATGGGGAGCTGTTGTCCACATTATGTAAGAAGTATAGCGAACATTAAACTTGCTTGTGTGTGAGAGGCCAGTTGCTTACAAAAGGGACAATTATGCAGATTTTCAGATATTTAGTTGATCATTGATTATTCAAAGATTCAATTTTCAAAATTGAAAATTGTCATGAAAAGTAATGATATGAAAAGGGAAAGTTTATAAAATTGCATCCAATTGCATTTCTTCTTGTATGATTTTATTTCTGCTTTTGTGGGAGTATGGTACAACCATTTCCCCCCACTCATGTTTTCCTCACCTGTTGGGGGGAGGGGGTTGCTGATACAACTCCCACAAAACGAAGAGGCAAGATTAAGCTAGTTTGTCCATCTTACGGGGAGCAGTGAGCAAATTAGTGTTACTTCTTGAAGCTGGGCAGTACATCAGCTAAACAGTGATGGACAAATCCATGTCTGTAGGACAACATAATGAAGGATTCCACAGTGAAGTGGAAAAGTAGCATTGAGGTGTTAACAGTTGGTGATGCACTGCAGTGGAAATCATGTCCATTATAATCTTTTCAAGCTACACTCTTTCCCTTTTGTTGTCTCCCTCAGAGAAAAAGACAAAATAACAACACGGACTGTCAAGGGCAGAATGGACTAAGCTGAAGCTATGCAGTATCCACTGGCATTCCAAGGGAGAAAAAGTGTACATCGCATCGTGCAAAATGAAAACAAGGTTCCATCCTTGGTCAAAATGTTGTTTCAAGCTCAACCAAAGCCATACATATCATAAGGAAATAATGTCAAGTAGATTTCTCTGTCAATTCCAAGCATTTAGTAATCCTTCTATTTGGCATTTCCTTAGTACTTCAGCTAGTCAAAGAGAGAACCACCAACAGTTTGGTGTGAATCAGAGAGATTCTTCCTGTAGGTTATAACAGATTTAGTGATATACAATTCAGCAAAGCAGTGGTTTTTCCCAGGAAGATTGAAAGTGCTCAATTTGTCCCCTCAGTTCCCCCAAACTTTCAGTGGTCACTTATGTCATGCTTTAAAGCAAAAAAAGATTTTTTTTTGACAGGTTTGATTATGCTGCTGGAAAAGACACCATGTTGTTTACTAACAAAATAAATACCTCCAGATCTAGGGTTGGCCTGTGATAGACTGGGTTAGGCAGGGTTTTAGGGACTGATAAATATCAATTCATTTCACAAATTATCAAGGAAACCAGTGGGAGACTTTGAGACAACGGTGGCAGCAGACACACTGGTTCTTCATAGTATTGTGCATGCTCAGAACTATGCAGGCCTGCTCATAACAATGTGCGCATGCTCAGAACTATGCAGGCCTGCTCAGAATAATGTGCGCACGCTCAGAACTATGCAGGCCTCACAGAATAATGTGCGCACGCTCAGAGCTGGTAAAAAGAACCAGTATGTTTGCCACCACCAAGCATCTCAAAGTCTCCCATCTCTGTCAGGAACACAAGTTTGCACCTGAGTGTGGGTGTGTGTGTGTGTGCATTTCAGTTCTTCATGGATGTGCATATAAAAAGTACTTGGGCTTTTGGACCCTATGGGCTTATATCTGTACAAAGAAACACAACTTCTTATCCATGTATTTGTTATGTCCAAATATTGCTACACTTGCGTGCATATTTCCTGCTGCCAAGCCGCTTTGACATTTGTCTAAACAAATTGAAGCATGTTGAGGCAAAAGTCAGTGAACTTCTGGTTGACAAGAACTGACATTTTATGAAGAATTTTTAATTAATATGGCAAAAAGGCTTCCGGGTAGCTTTGCATTAAGTTAGGACTTTGTATTGAAATAACTCCCCATCAATGTTTTTATTAATCTGGAACTGAACTTTGTATTTCATGGAATTGGTAGCCGTCATTTCCAGTCACATTTGATGTCATTGTACTAAAGCAAATGCATTGATTTGCATTGCCCAGTTGGTTCAGTGTTGATATGCATACTGTCGAATAAAATTTTCTTCATTAAATTATGCGCATACTATAGATTGTGCTTACTGCAAAATTAGTCTGTGGAGTAGCTACTTGCTGGCAGATGTTTGTATACAGATATGGTGATTGATTCAGTGGCTTAGCTAAGGATGTGCAGGGTTGCAGATTGCAACAGAATGAACATTTGAAAAGCAAGGTCAAGATGCTGCTGAAGTAAAAAATGGGATGATGAAAACTCAGCTAAAAGGAATAAAGCTCTTTGCTATATGTAAAGCCAGGATAAATTTTATGAGACAGTCATCCCCTGACCTCTGGATTTGATCAATCAGCCGGCTTATTTTCTTATGCATTCGGTATCGAGCAATTATTTCCCAGTGCATGGGAAGCTTTTTAAAAATGCATCGCGCCTCTCCTTGCAGCTCTACTAATTCAAATTCTTTGGTCTTCAGAGCTCAGGAGGAACATGTACTTCCAAGTCTGAATCGTTCGGAGACACCCATTCCTCAATGTTCAAGTTGATTGATGCCGTTGACCAATTAACAGCTTTGTCCACCTGGGTTTAGTTAAAAAGATCACAGTTTCTAAAGTGGACAATTTGTCGGTGCACGAGGTGTCCTTCAGAGCGAGAAAAAAGTGGATCTGACTAGGAGAAGTTCGTAAACTACGGCGGAGTACTGCAGAGGCTTCTTTGCTTTCTTCTTTTTGGGGGGGGTCAGATCTGGGCTTTTGTCCTGCGCGAAATACGAGTTTTAACGAGAAAGTTTAGCAAGATATTGAGTTCTGGGCATACACTGTATATGTACCAAATTCATTCCACTGCATCACTTATTCATGGTGCTAACGATCCGTTACCCTCTATGGAACTTTAGCACATATAACTTGCAAAATATTGTGTTTGGTCAAGTGGATGACCAGTTTGCAAACTTATGTAGTGGTTTATAAAACTGCGCCAAGGCTTTCACTGGGTTCCCCCCCCCCATTTGTAAGGCATTTGTAAATTTTCCCCGATGATTACTCCCATTTTCTGGTCCATTAAAGCCACCAAACCCTCGAAAAATGTGCGTAGGGCCAAAAAGACGCTTCATGCAGAAATGATGCACTCAATAATAAGCAGCATGTGATGAATAATACTTAAGCACACACCACAACTTGGCTTTATATTTAACGTGATCTTGTAATCTAAAAACTACAAATACAGGAAATCTGTAATAAGCAGTTACGAATTTTTAGCTTTGTGCAGTGTAATTTCATGAAATATAAATCGTCTAAAACTTCAAATAGAGAAAATCTTTAATAAGAAGTTACGAATCTTTAGCTTTGTGCAGTGCAATTTCATGAAATATAAATTAAACTTGCCGCCCCATCTATTTTGGGCCCATTTACACACAAAAGCAGTGCCAATAACTGGTTATTGAAAGTATGTGCCAAACAGCTTCGTGGGTAATCCCAGGCACGACAAAAAAAGAGCTCGCCCTGCCAGTCACTCCTTGATGTCATTCCTTAGAGACCGTCTATTTGCCAAAACGCGCAATCTCAGTCAGATGTCTTTAAAAAAAAATCAGGTTTTTGTAAACTGTGGTAACGTCGCCCTATCGGAGGGCTGTTCGCTCATACTGCATAAATGGCCCTGAAACCAAAGCGTTCCTATCATACACCATTCATTCCATTTGTGGTTTACAAGCCACGTATGCTTATATTACGCGGTACTCTTCAACGTACTTAAACTACTGTTCCATTCGAGTTTCAAGAATGACACTCGTTCAAAATCAGTGTTTGAATCGTGTCATTATCATGCTCTTTGAAAAATGTTGAACTGATGTGATAGCATGTGGTTAAATGTACCGTTTAACCGGTATATAATACATTAAATGCACCTGATGAAAGAAGTTACAGGGGATGATGGGCGAGTAGCCAAGCGCCCTCCCCCCATACCGAAGTATGATCAGAGCCCTTGGCGTCGAAGACGTGCTGTCAGAGCTGAAGTTAGTTAGCACAGTACAATGTTTGGTCACCAATTTGTCGATCGTCTCCATGCTGGCTTGATGTTGATATCAAAGCAATGGGTCGGAAGCACTCGGTCGGCACAGTAATATCAGAGAATATGTTGTCTACGCAAAGATAAAATCTATGTGTGACGATACCGCTGCGACCCCAATATGTGTTTTTGTTCTGGGTACAGTAGCGGAATGGCTCCAGGGGATCCTCTAACAGAAAGAAGAGAATAAACTAAGTGTAGAAGGCACGTAATGCTTGGTAGGCCTATGTTAGGTACAGTTTTAGAGGTTGTACATTTCTATTAAATTATCCTTTCCGGTGCCCCCAGGTTTTCGTGGAGGGAAAATTTCAGATAGGTTTTGATGATTTTTTTTCGGACAAAAACAGCAGTAAATACGCTCACGGGGGAGATTTTTTGTCACATGGGGGATGATTTCTCAGTGCGAAAGGTCAAGGCGTGTGCGAGCGCGACAGGGCACAGTGTCCAAGGTCTCACTTCAATTTGGGGGCCTAAGGACCACCTGGTGGAATGTAGGGGCAAAGCCAGGTGCGCATACAGTCAGTGACTTGAAAAGAAGTAACCCCCCCCAAAAAAAGTTTGGGGAATATATCCTCATCTCCCGGGATCTCCGGCCATGAATACGCCGATTTGATGTAAGATTAAGGGGGGTCACTCCACACGTGCAGCTCCCCTTGGGTCCTGAGTGTCAACATCCCCCAACCCCCGTCCACCCCACTTTTCAAATTTCCATGGCCGGGTAATTTTGATTTACGTCATTACCCCCGTCTCCTATAATTTCCGACACAGATTTTCGCCCCTGTAACGTAGGCTTGGTCATTTTGTCTCTGAGTAACGTAAAACACACGGTTTGAGGTAACAGCACTGAGCATACTTGGTTGTTGACCCTCACCTTGCAAAATTGAGTCCTTCCAATTAGAAGTAGCCGTTGTCCCTTCAAAATGAAACTTTGCTGGTCCTTCAGAATATTCAAACAAATCTAGAAAACATGAATTAGGAGCTCAATGATGAGGTAAAGAAATATTGCTCCGACATATCAGTATGCACTGTAGGGTACATCAACAATTTATGAAACATTCGAAGTCTTTGTTTCATATAGGTTTTTCCCGGTTAATTTAGCTAGTACGTCCTTCATTCAAAATTGCTGAAACGACAGTTTAACTTCGTCAAAGAAGGGTCACTCGCCCGAAATGTTGATTCTAGTTTCGAAATAACACCACTACAGAATTCACTTTCAGAGCATTGTAAATCACGAAAAAAAAACACATTTATTTGTCCTATTTATCGTCAATTTCGTCTCACTCAGGGAATGGCGTTGAATTGGAAAAGCCAATTCGTTTCTTGTCATTCGTTTTACAAGTGACCACTCTCTGAGGACATTAATCTTTTGTTTGAGCAATATTAAATGAAAGAAGTGCTCAATTAAACGGGAGAACCTATAGAAAACGTTTGTAACATTATGTTGACACGTATATGAAGATCAAATGTAGAGTATAACTCACTGCATGTCACTAAACTAATCCTCTTTGTTGTTTGACTCTCATTTGTTTTAAAATGTTTCAGATTAGTCGAATGTTACTTCGTATGTTTTCTGGGGAAATGATATCTCATCATTATTGGTTGAATATTAACTTGTGGCAAATAACTGTTTCACTTTCTGCATCATAATTATTCCCCAGACAGATAACAAAACACACATCGAACAATTCCTAACTTTGGAGATTGTATGGACTTCACTACAGGTTTCTGGTGAAATTTGGCGTCCGTGAACATATTCCTTCCAACTTTGTTATTCTGATAATATGAATGAAACTTTTTAATATTGTATCTTTTTTTATGTAACCAGGATAAACAGCTTGATCGTGGAGGTATGTTTTTTTTTCGCTCTTGGTGAGAAGACAAAGAAGACAGGTTCAGTTTAAGAGGTGTATATAGAAACTCACTGAATTGAGAACCCAGTCCATAATTATGTCAGCCTGGCTGGGATTTGAATTCAGGTCAGATAACAGAGGTCAGGGGCGGTGAAAATAGTACGCCTCAAATAGTAAAAAGTACTGACTCATTTTTCTTTTGATAGTCAAGCCGTCCAAGATTTTTTTTTACTGGGAGCACTTGTGCAGAGGATCGTTGCGTTAAAATTTATGTTTGTATGTGCTGTCTGCGGAGACGGCAAAAGATACTCACCTAAATATATACCGCCTTCATGTCCTGACTTACAAGCCTCGCAACGCGTACGAGCGTCGTTGCATGTCATGTTCATCACATAGAATTTCTGTAAATTTTTGACATATAGAGGTATTCTTATACCTGTGTTTGGCAACTTAACATAATCTTGCTGTCACTATGTGGACATGATTAGATGCAAGATATTTGCAAGACGGGACCTCGTGAAAGTTCAATCTATTTTAATTGATATATTATTTTTCATTATCTGAATCACTCACTGGTCAAAAAAGCCATTGTTATGGTGCAGATTACAGCCTACATCATTAATCAAAATCTTCTTGACTCCACGATGTGGAAATACGTGTACTATGGCCGTTTTCCTCGTGCGCATAGTCCACTTGGGTGTGTTTATCAAAATTTTTAAGAAACAATTTGTTTGCAGTGTTGTTGAAGAACTGAGACAAGACTAAGGTATCTTTCACACCAGAGGCTGGATCGACTCCATCGTAGCAATGTGTGCGTTCTTAATCACAAATTTTCGACAGTTTCCGAATTCTAAATAGTACGGTAACATTCGAAATAAAACATTAAAACGTGTGTGCACAAATACGGCCACTGCCTTTAATATCTAAACACGTATTGGCAACTTAACACAAACTTGCTATTACTTTGTGGACGTGCTTAGATGCAAGACATTTGGCGTTCAATTCCCAAATAGAATGTCCAATGGCTAAACGCTATCAATCCAAACTGCAGTATTTAAACACGTTTTACAAACTGATAGAAAGTGTTTAGAGACACAGTTTTTGCAGTGAAAATAATAGTCTTAGACCAGTGTTTTAACACAACCGGTTGGCAAACCAGTTTAAGATATGAAGAAAAACTGTTTACCATATCTGCGCGGATGGGACCGCTTCTGCTGCTCTTCCAGTTTGCATTAACTTGGCTGAGTAGCATCGAGCACAATATCGCAAGTACCAACATGATGCAATGATAAATGTATACCTGTTACGGTGCCTTCCTGGATATGCTCTGCACCGATCAAAGACGAGCTTAGGCTTTAATATCTGAACGCTGCCGATATGTGTTGTCTTTTTATGAGCTTTTGTTTTACATACTAAATAATTCATTACATGCATATTTGAAGCCTGCCTTGAGTGGGTCATCTTCAAATATGCAGGTTTTCCAGTCAATTCAACACAGAATCGATGGACAATTTTGTCCCAAAATTTCGTTGGACCTTTTGTGCAGCAGTTTGGACTTCATTTTGTTCGCAGTGAAACTTTTGTTGGTATTTTAATTCGTTCTGTTTTTGTCTCATATAGTCTGGTGGGGGTGTTGACAAAATACGATTAAATTTCTTTAATGGACAGCATCATTGAAATATCATTTTCCCGAACAAGAAGTGCATGTGATTTCCCCAGATATCAAGGAACATTCAACGGACGTCTAAACGTTAGTTAACTTTTAGGTAGAATGCTTGAAACGGAAAAACAAAATTATGAATCGTGTGACCCTTGGCCAAGCTCATAGTTAGCAAAACCGATGAAATAATTTCATAATTAGGATGGTGAATCTATCGTTCGAAACAGAATTCTAAAAGCCTGGATCTATTGCAGAGTTGTTTTTTTTTAGAATTTGACCGGAAACCGATGCTGAAGCATTTTGATGTCCATTATGTGATGTCCATTTTGATATCCATTATTTATGGATATGTCGAAATAATGTAAATAGCAAGATGAAAATAGCAATACTTGGTGTGCTTCTTATCTTGCTGGTACACCAGCACATTAATTTGAATCAATAAATCAACAAGTAGGCCATTATAATCGTCAAGTCGAGTAGTCCACGCCTCCTGCGCAGGGCTACTAGCTGTAAACAACTTGGTCATCGACTTGTTTGACGTCAGAGGGACAAAAATGGTGAAATTTGCCAAGGCTAAAGCGTCTGGTTAGTAGGTCTACCTTCAATTAATCAAATTAAGATAACGAGCACGCACATTGTAGCTCACGATCAGACATTTTGCGGCATTTGAACATTTTGCTCTTATTGTGTAGCCTGTAGTGTGGGCTTTGCATGGAAGAGGTATATTGGTTTTGAAAGTTGTTGAGAATTGAAAAACACGATAAGCCACGCGTCCACAGCAACTTGATGCCTGAGCTGATCACATTTTGCAATTGTTGTTTTGAGAAATGTGTAGAGGTGATGGCGCTATCCATGCTATTGCTGACTGGAGAATTTGAAAAGTAATCCTCTGCTTATGTCCTCCCGGATCAACCTCTTACCGGACATATAACTGCCGTATCGACAAGAATATCAGATTAAATCAGTGCTCTGAAACATATGATCACCGAGCTTTCGAAAGCTCGGCAATCTCGGCAATCATATATGAGAGCACTGATTTAATCTTATATTCTTGTCGATATTCTGATCACGATACTACGCAGCCCTTCCATTTATAACTGCCGTAGAGGATTTTATGCATCAATTGGTCCTCCTTACACGTCAAAAGAGAGGAAGTGCCACTGAATGGGATCGTCATCCTCTTTTTATACTGAAGTGAAATGGACAGTGTTATAATGCGAACTTGTAGGCCTATACGTGTAATAATTATGCAGTTATCTATCTCTTCTTGCGAAGACGTCAGAGCCACAAAGACAGGTTTAACAGGGTGTACGGTTTTAACCTCCCCATAATGTTTTCTTGCACAAATTCGTTGATTGATTGATCTTTTATACACTGGATATAATTATACCGTCGGTATGAAAGTGATTTTCTCCATGCTGCCTATTCCTTGATTCTAATTCAGCTTCACTGCGCCAAAAAAAAAAAAAAATAAAATAGGCGTGTTTCACTGGTAGTAGTGCACTTGAATTGTAATACCGAAAAGACAGTAAATCCGCTTTCGTATGTGTGAGTGACATATATACATTGTAGCCCACGGCTGGCGAATTCTAATGCTCTTTGGGTGTAAATTCAATTTGATTGAGAATATTATTTTATTTCATTACCGTATTCCCCGAACGCTCAAGCGACTGTTTTAATTTATTAAAATTCGCGGTAAAGTGAAAGCGGTTTCAAGTGCAGCTGCAATCGATTTCTTTTCGTACCAAACTTCTAAATGCACATTTGTGTCTAAGTTTACCTTATTTTAAATTTTTATTTCAGTATTATAATTTTCGCCATTTAAAGGGTGCTGCCTGTTTGGTTTCCATTTCCATAAGCAAAACTGGGTGTCAGCTCAGGAAGAGAGCCTTAATATCAGTTGGCTCATACACAAAAATCCTGCATTTATGTTGATTTTGCTGTGCTGATTTGCCTTTGTTCAAGTGGGTGGCAATAAGCAAGCATGTATCCCTTTCTTAGAAGCGTTCCAAAGTGATTCATTTCAAGGTAACAATTTGAACAGAAAAGGTACGCACAAAACTTCCATCTTTCCTGGACGACATAACAGCAGCAGCGCCCTCGGTTGTCCGTGAAAGTTTAGTTAAAAGTGCATTTTTTTGTATTTGACCAAATAGAAATGTAAAAAGGTTTTCATACATCGAAAAAGAGTACAAAGTTGCTAAAAACGTTTTTAAGAAAAATTCATTGCAGCTACACTTTAACTTGTTGGCTTTTATTACTTGCAAGATGATTTAGCTCGCCTGCGGGTGGCTGAATCGCAGGTTACCCCTCCCCGCCGCGCCGGAGAAGGAAAAACCAACCTCCAGGCATGGTCCATGTTTCAGGCACCTGGCCAGGTGCTGGATCTTGAACTTACACTTATTACATATGCAGCAAGGTA